AATCAGAGATAACAAGGTGTAGAGCTGGATGAACACAGCAGGCCAAGTAGCATCAGAGGAGCAGGAAAGCTGACGTTTTGGGTCGACTATTCTTCAGAAAATTTCTGAAGGGTCTAGGCCCGAAACGTCAGCTTTCCTGCTCCTCTGATGCTGCTTGGCCTGCTGTGTTCATCCAGCTCTACACAGAACTTACTAGTTGATGATTCCAGTGGTGCAGTATGGGCAGGATGAAGAGGCTGGATCCAGATGCAAAAATATAACAAAAAATATAATTATAAAAATAGGCAAAAATATAGTCACTGCACCTATTATTCGAAGTTGACATCGGTGGATCTATGCCAACAGACTGAGTTGAGGATGTTCTGCAGATGTGCGTTTTTTTGATGGCATACCATTCCTGTGGAATGCCACTTGGTTATAGCTGCTAGGATTCGGGCTATATTTGGCTAAGTACATGAACACGAAAGGTTTGGAGAGTTTGTAGGGATATGGGCCAGGAGCATGCAGGTTGCACTAGTTTAGTTGGGATTATATTTGGCATGGTTGGACTGTAGGGTCTGTTTCCATGCTGTATGACCCTATGACTTGAAGAGGTGCTAAGCTTTGCAATAATGACAGAGTTTTGACTGATATTCCAAATTAATTTGGTTACCTTTATGCTGAGTAGATTGCTGAGCCAATTCGTAAGATCTTTCTTCTGTATTTTCAATTTTTAATGTGCAACTTATATTTATAGTTTATATTTGATACAATCTACCTGGTAATTTATGTTTAATTTTTGTTATTTCTGGGTTTAAGAAGATAGGCGGTTATCCAACACTTTGTTTTAAATTGTGGAACATCATTATTTACAGAAAGAAAAAAGCAATAATGTTCTTTTTAAAAAAAAGTACTAGTTTTTACAGAGGTCACAGCAAGAAATAGATGCTCATCTAATAAATTCTAGGTGGGGGAATAATTGCATAGGTCAATGTAGCCTTAAATAACTGGGCTAGATTTTGCATTGTTTAATCTTTCACATTTTGAAATTTTATGTTGTGTTCACAGGTCCAACAATGAAACTGAGAAGGGGAATTGTTTTGAAAATGTACAAAGATATAATTGAATCATTTTATTTCGATTGAAGTCTTTCCATGAATGGTTGAGCGAGTACAAAATCATCCAAATCTTGTTTTGGAATCTGCACCAATCTTTCATAGTTTGTGAAATTGTCCACCGTTCAATAAGCATAAATCTCTATTTTAAAATGAATTACAATTGTGATGATTGGACAGTTGTGTGTTGATGGCAGGAACAAGCACTATTGTAATAATTTTAATATTATCCAAATAAAAAAAAAGTACAAATCTGTCTCTTACTGCTTTGATGCTTGCTACTTTAAGATTAACTTAATTAAATTTGCCATAAATGTTAAGATGCAGTAAGCCACTTGAGGTTGGATCTCCGTCCTCGAATCTTGTCCACATTTAGCTGTGAGCTTGTGGTGCAACAGTAGCGTGTCTGACTCCAGATCAGAAGGTTGTGTGTTCAAATCACAGCCGGCTCATGGTGTTTGGCAGCAGTATGATGCACCAGGCTTTAGGGTGGCATGGTGGCTCAGTGGTCAGCACTGCTGCTTCACAGCACCAGGGGGGTTCGATTCCAGCCTCAGGCGACTGTCTGTGTGGAGTTTGCACATTCTCCCCGTGTCTGCATGGGTTTCCTCCAGGTGCTCTGGTTCCCTCCCACAGTCCAAAGATGTGCAGGGTAGGTGGATTGGCTATGCTAAATTGCCCACAGTACCCAGGATGTTTAGGTTAGGTGGGTTAGACATGGGAAATGCAGGGGTAGGGGAATGGGTCTGGGTGGGATACTCTTCGGAGGGGCGGTATGGATTTGTTGGGCCAAATGGCCTGTTTCCACACTGTAGGGACTCTATGATTAAGGATGGTGAGCAAACCATGAAAACAGGGGAGCCAGGTTACCCATAGTAACGAGAGGACCAATAGTAATGACTAGTTGTCAGCCTCACTAGGTCTTCAACATGGATATAATCTTGGATGCTTGAAAGAAATTCAATAAAAAAATAGACAGCCACAATGGCTAAGGCCAGAAGGTGGCGGGGAAACCATGCCTAAGGAATGGTGACTGGAAGTTATGGCCTCTGTGGTAACATTGTGGTGTGTGGATCTTCCAACTCATGGCTATGGTCCATCTCTGGGAAGCTGGCTCCTGTGAACTTGGAGCCATTTTCAAAATAATGACAGATTCACACAGACTTTGAACACTCTGATTTGCCTTGACACAGTGTTGAGCACCTACTGACCCTGGCAGGAACCAGCCTGCTATTTAGCCATCCTCCTGTTAAATTAAACCAGCAAGACCAGTACAGCAGTGGTCAAGTTTGGGACCCGGAAACAGTCCAAGCTCTCAAATTATTTTCAAAATTGGGAACATTCAGTCACTTGTTTCTATTCTCCCGTCCCCCATACTTAGACCATTGCATTAGAGGATAGGTATATCTCTTATTCCTAATTCTGACCCAGGTGATGTGATACATGATGATTCCAAAGTAATTGGATAGTTTTACAACAGGTTATTGTGGAACAAGCGGTCAACAATCTCACAAGGATCAAAATTGGATAAGAAAGTAAGCCAATTCTACTTCAAAAAATTGTTCCTAGTGTCATTTCCCTATTACTTTGGATAAATTAATACCTTTCAGCAGTAAGTCTGATAACTAACTTTACACTAAATCAAGACAAATTTTGAACAAAGGCAGAAAGTGAATGAAAGCATTTACTGTTCAATCAAAATATTACTCAGCCCCTTCTCACTTTTGATGGTTGACAACTGACTGAAAACAATGGTCGGAGTCCTTTATACCAGAAAGAAGCAAATTGCTGAATAAGGTAATAATAGAAATTTCTGGAGAAACTCAGGAGATCTGGCTCTATCTGTGGGGAGAGGGCAGAGTTAATATTTCGGGTCCAGTGACACTTGGGAACTAAACGCTGAGTCTGCTTACTCTCCACAGGTGCTGCTAAACTTGCTGAGTTTCTCCAGCAATTTCTGTTTTTGTTTCCCATTTCCAGCACCCTGTTTTATTTTGTCTTCTTTGTTGAATGAAGTATATTGTTGTATGCTACTCGAAATGAAAATGTTAATTTATTAAAACTGAAGACTTTATTGTTACACTAGTTAATTACTGGCTGTTGTTGAGGTTTAATAATTGGTAAATGGACATAACACTTTTATGAAACCATAAGACGTAGAAGCAGAAATAGGCTATTCAGCCCATTGATACTGTTCTGCCATTCAATGAGATCACAAGTTAGCTGATAATCCTAAATTGCACTTGCCTGCTTTTTCCCCCAGAACAAATTTTGAGCAAAGGGAGAAAGTGAATGATAGCACGTGACATTTAATAGAAGTATTACTCAGATCCTTCTCACTTTTTTTTTGGTCGACAACTGACTGATAACAATGGAAAGGAGTACTTTTATATTAGAAAGGAGTAAATTGATGAATGAAGTAATAAAGACAGAAATTGCTGGAAAACTCAGCAGGCCTGGCAGCATCAGTCAAGAGAAAGCAGAGTTAGCATTTCAGGTCCAGTGACTGGGGGTGGCATGGTGACTCAGTGGTTAGCACTACTACCTCAGAGCATCAGGGACTGTGTGGAGTTTGCACATTCTTCCTGCATCTGCTCGGGTTTCCTCCAAATGCTCTGATCTGCTCCTACAGTCCAAAGATGTGCAGATTAGATAGATTGGCCATGGGAAATATGGGTTACAGGGATGGTATGGGTCTGGGTGGGATGTTCTTCAGAGGGTCAGTGCAGACTCAATGGGCCAAATGGCTTGCTTTCATACTCTAGGGATTTTATGAACCCTTGATTCCCTTGCTGATTTTAAAAAAATGTCTATGTCAGCCTCGAATATATGTAATGATCTAGCCTTGACAACCCTCTGCGGTAAAACAAATTCTGTGGATTTACTACACTTGGAGAAGGAATTCCTGATCTGTTTTAAATGTACAACCCCTTATTTTGAGATTATGCCACCTGCGTGACTCTCCCACAAGCATCCACCCTATCAAGTCCCTTAAGAATCTTGTATGTTTCAATGAGGTCACCTCTGATACTTCTAAATTCCCAATGAGTACAGGACCAATCTACTCAGCCTCTCATAAGACAGCCCCTCCATATCTGGTATCAGCCGAATGAACCTTCTCTGGAAAGTCTCCAATGCCAGTATATCTTAGCTATGGGGTCCAAAACTATTCTCAATATTGCACCTGTGGTCTAAAAAGTGTTTTGTATAGTTTTAGCAAAGCCTCCTTACATTTATACTCTATTCTCTTTGAAATAAAAGCCAACATTATATTTACCTTCCCTATTAACTGCTGAAATTGGATGCTAGCTTTTTATGATTCATTGATGAGTCCTCCCAAAGCCCTCTGCTCTGTAGGTCACCTTTTGTTGGTTTTTCAATCCTCTTGCTTACCACTATTTGTTGCCACATTGTATGCTTTTTATTTCAACTTGATACTATCCTCAACTTTCCTGGTTAACCATGGTTGGGTTATCCCTTACACAGAATCCCCCTTCCCCATTGGGATGTACCTTTGCTGTGAATCATAAATTATTTTCTTAAGCATCTGACATTATTCCTCAATCATCTTTGCTGCTGAACGGCTTTCCCAGTCCTTTGCAGCCAGCTATGCCCTTACTTCTTATGAATTATCCTTATTTAAGCTCAGCACAGTCTTTTCTGACCCACATTCCTCCCTCTCAAACCAAATGCCAAATTCTACCATTTTAAGGTCACTATTTTCTTGGGGATCTTTTACCCTGACATCGTTTATTAAACATACCTCATTACAGATCGCAGGATGTAAATTAGCCTGATCACTGGCTGGATCCATATCAATGTTTTGGAAACTGTCCCAAATACACTATGAATTCTGCCTCAGGTCTACCTTTGCCAATCTACATAAAGACTAAAGTCGCCAATGATTAATGTTCTGCCTTTGTTTCATGCTTTCATCATCCCATGATTTATTCTCTGCCAGTGAACGTTCAGAAGTCTATAGACTACTCTTACCAGTGTCTTCTTTCCCTTTTCATTTCTTACCTAGGCCCATTTGGATTCTACGTCTTCCAATGCAAGATCCTTTCTTGCTATCATACTCATTCCATCTCACATCAACAATGCAAACTCATCACAATTTCCTTCCTGCCAGTCCTTTCAGAAATACATGCCTTTGAATGTTCAATTCCTAGTGTTGACCTCCTTGCAACCATGTTCCTGTAACAGCTAAAGATCATCCCATTAACTTGTATTTGTGCTGTTAAATTATTTATTTTGCTCTAACTATGACACGTATTCAAAAAAAAAGCCATTAATTTTGCTTTTTAAACATTTTACTCTTCTTTGACCTTATTTACTGCTTTTTCTTTTTGTATACTCTATCCTTTCCTGACCACTTTAGGTATCATTATTCAAATAGCTGCCTTGTAATGCTACCATAGACCTCTTGCTATGTAAGCCTACATTACCTCTCTCCCAAACCCTTCCCCCTCTATTTAGTCTTAGCCCTAGTTTCAATTTGCCAGGATACTGGTCCCAGCACTGTTCCAGTGAAGCCCATCCCACCAGAACAGCTTGAGAGAAGAAAAACACTGGAGACCTAAATATAAACTGAAGACCCTAATTTTACTTCAAGACTAGAATAATTCACCAGTCCTACTCACCAATCAGCTTCTTCCCCTGTACTTGCATTGTACTGTGGTTTGCAATGTCAATTCGCTGCTGCTCTCACTGCAGGTAAGCCTCTTGACCCATACCTTTTATCATCTCTCACTCTGGACAGTTTACTTCTTGCAATAAACCTTAATTAAAGCCCAGTTTTTATTCCTTGCACAAATTTCCACTTCAAACCAAATATCCAACAGTATAATTTGTATACACCACTCAGCCTTGGAGTCCCACTTTGAATCAAATTTCCAACGGTATAATCAGTGTACTAATAGAAACAAAGAAGTATGAGCAGGCCATTCAACCCTTTGTGTCCATTATGCTATTCATTATGGTTATGGCTGATCATGCCACTTAATAGCCTGTTCCTGTTCCCCTCTCATCCTTTGACCTCTAAGCCCAAGTGTTTTTATCCAACTTCTTGAAATCCCACTATGTTTTGGTCTTGACTGCTTCCTATGATAGTGAATTCCTCAGGTTCACCACTCTCTGGGTGAAGAGAATCCCACATAAGAGATTAGCATGAAACATGTTGAATTAGGGGTGGTATATTTAGATGGATGGAAAATTTGCTGGCAGACAGGAAACAATGTATAGGAATAATC